GCTATGACCTGATTGACAGACTAGACTCCACCCCTTCACTCTTAAACCTCTCAAGTCCCAAATTGATGCCAGATTATATAACTACCACAATACTTAAGAGTAGATTTTCTGGGTCATCTGGTAAATTTCTGTTTAATCTTTTAAGAAGTTGTCAGACAATGTTCCTCAGTGTGGCTACCCCATTTTACATTTTCACTAGTAGTGTGTGAAGTTTCCCGTTTCTCCACATTTTCAGCAATGCTTACTATTCTCTATGTTTCTGATTTTAGCCAGGGGCTGATTTATGGTAGCTAACAGTGGTGTGAAGTAGTACTGCATGTGGCTTTTATCTGCATTTTCATAATGAAGTTGAGAGTATTGTCATGTGCTCTGACCCTGGTGGTGCTGTCAGGCCGGCATTGGAATGCTGACTGCAAGATTGGAATTCAAATGAACCTGCCACTTTATAGAATAAATGCCCTGGAAGTGCCACATGGGGGGCACTGTGAGCTGGAATCAACTCCGTGCAAATGGGGCTTGTTTGTGATTTGCTTGGCCATTCATAGATCTACTTTAGTGAAATGTCTTGGCAGATCTTTTGCCCATTTAAAAGTTGGGTTATTTGTCTTGTCATTGAGTTCTAAAAGTCCTTTACGTAGTCTGGGTACAAGTATTTAAATGATTTGCAAATATTTTTTCCATTCAGAGACCTTTCTCAGCTTTTTCGTTTGTGAACGGTCTCCATTTGAATATAACATAAATATTGCTCTTTCATGATTGTCCTGCTTGGGCTTCTGCACCCTTCCTTCCAGAAAGCTGCCATTTGTGCCTCAGTTATTTTGGGAGCTTCTGAGAATGATTGCCAATTTTTGTTTTCTTTTGCAACGGAAACAGGAGCTTGAGATGGGTCTGGTCAGCGTGCACGGCGTAGGATCTTGTTTTGTTCCACGAGTTACCTTTGCTTCAGGGCTGAGTGTCTCCATCGTGGCCCTGCTGGACACTTGGGGCTCGTTCCTGCATTTCGGTGTAGATGCTCCTGTATATCACGGGGCTAGCAGCACCCTGTTTTATTATTATTATTATTTTATTATTCTTTCAGTAATAATAGCAATTCACAGATGTTCCCTTTCCCCTAAAGGGTGGGATCGTCCCTCGGCTGTGCCACGAGGGTTGAAATCCCAGTCTTTGCCTGTGTGTGTGGTTGTGTCTCAGCTGCCCTGTGAGGTCTCCTATCGGCAGGCGGAAGCTCTGCCTCCCTCCCACCCCCGCCCCAGCCTTTATTTCAGAGTAAGCTGTGGTGACCCATTCCAGATGTCTACTGGGAGAAAGAGGAGGGCTGGGATGGATGGATTTCCTCTGCTTCAAGAGCTTTTAAAAGTTTTCCACTCTGGTTTAAAAATCCCAAGAGCATATGGAAAGGGGAATTTAAAGTGCCACCACAGAGAAGGGTGTGTGCACTAGGGGAAGGCAGCTGAGTGCCGCTAGCAGACCGGCATCGGCGTTAGAGCAACGCGGGGGTTTGCTCTTGAACCCGGCCAGCTGTTCTTCCCTGGGCAGCGCCATGCTGCGCCGTGGTGGCTCTGTCGGAGACTGAAACCCATCCTTGCACCGGGAGGCTGGGCGACGATTAGTCAGGGGCTCACACATAGGAATGTCTCCACCTGGGTTTCTGTAAAGGCCCAGCTTTAGCACTGCACAGCTGTAACCCTGAAATACCAGGCAGCCTACCGACAGCACCCCTGCGCCCACGACCGTTCCTTGGGGTGGGATAATCTGATGGTTAATAACTGCTACAAAGTATTCGACAGACCACCTGTAGGACAGCCTCATGGAGCAGTGGCTCGGAAATTGGACCTGGTTGCTGCTGGATGGAGACCCAG